CTCTTCTTCTTCTTCTTCTTCTTCTTCTTCTTCTTCTTCTTCTTCTTCTTCTTCTTCTTCTTCTTCTTTCTCCTCCTCTTCCTCCTCCTCCTCCTCTTCTTCTTTTTCTTCTTCTTCTTTTTGATTCTGACTGCACTTGTCAGAGAAAATATTCAGTGTCTGAGTCTGGCTTAGTTTACTTAACATGATATCCAGGTCTATCAATTTTTTTGCAAATGAAGTGATCTCATTTTTTTATGAATGAATAATACTCCATTGTGTATATATGCCACATTTTTTGTCCATTTTCCCCTTGACTGGCACCTAAGTTGGTTCTATCATTTCTATGTGGAAATTTTACCATTTCATCTAAGGTGTCAGTTAAACTGTTGATAAGGTTGTTCACAATATTATTTTTATTACTTTTTCTCTCTGTAGTCTTCAGAGTGTTTCCATTTTAGTTACTAGTCTTGGTCATCTACACCACCTTTTTTCTCTATCTTGATAAGTTCATTTTTGAAATCAAAGAATAAATTCCCAGTTTCACTCGTGTTCTCTACTGTTTTGCTGTTTTTATTTATTATTCGCAGTCTACTTTATGTTAAAGTATTTCTCCAGTAGACAAACTAGAATTTAACCTTATTTCCACCACTGATTGGAGTTTTTAATTCAATAACACTTGTCTGCCATCCTCTTTTCTTTCATTTTTCCAAAGTATTTTTAATTGTCTTTTTAGTGTGACAAATTAAATTCTTTGCTTTCTTTAAGCTAAGCACTTTTTTTTTTTTGAGAAGATGCGGTATTTTTTAAAATCTGGCTTTGTTTAGTATAGTTTTGTCTTTTTGAGACAGAATCTCATATTGCAGCCAGCACTGGCTTGTAACTGACATAGCACTCACGCTAGCCTCAGACTTCTGACATCCAACCCTCCTGCCTCAATCTCCTAAGCACATTTTAGAGGTTCGGTTGTCTGTGTGTGATGTGTTCTTCCATGATAAGTCTTTAGCACATCTGACAAAAGAGGGTTAGAAAGAATTAATTCATCTTTGATTGTCTTGGACATAGGCTCATCTACTTCAAGACAGAGCTGTCGCATTTAGTCAAAATGTCTAGTGATTGCAGTAAATGCTATCATTTCACATTTACTTGGTGATAATTAATGAAAACCAAGCACAATCCTACTTAAGAGACACACATAAAAAAAAAAAACTACAATGAGCCCTTAATGTAAGTATTACTATTTTATTAGACCGTGGCAGTTCTTATTCATTTCCTCTTCAGTAAGCATTTATTGAACGATTACTCAACAGTTGGCATTGGGGAGTCAATAATGAATGAGACAGAAGCAGTTCTTCCCCGAAGGAGGTAACAATCAACTGGAAGAGGCCACAGAATAATCACACAAACAAAGCACTTCAAAGGATGCGATCGGGTGTGAGTGCATAAAAGGGATTCGAACGGATGCTGAGTCATTGTTTTCTCTGAAGTATGGGTCAGCTAGTTGAGAAATAAGCAGGAGTTTTAGAGCCATAAAAGCTTGACATGCTGAAAAACATCTCATGGGGAAAAAGAATGGCGGCCGGGGTGGGGGAGGCAATGTGGTTGAAGCACACAAAACCTAGAGGAATTGTAGGTAGAACCAAAGTCACTACCAGATTTATCAGGCTCTGCCAAGAATTTCGGATTTTTATCTCATAGCCAGTGGATGCAGCAGAAAGATTTGGGGGAAATGTGACAGGTTAGACTTGTATTTTCAGAACTACTGGCAGTTGGGGAGTAGTGGGACAAAGGATGTAGAGCAAGACGATAGGAATACCGCAATATCCGTGAAGGATGAGTAAGGTCGGACAAGGATACTGGCGGGTAGAACCCCCAAAAGTGGAGGAATTTGGGTTGCCTTTTGGAAGTAGGATGACTGAAAATTCAACCAGAGAAATGGTCACCAAGTCAAGCATCTGTGTCAATAAGATCTATTAATGAGGTTGGTGACAGGTTGCAAGATGTCCCCACTATCCCTCTAACACGGGCCCCAGCCGGCAAGAAAAGGCCCAGGCCTGCGTCCTTGGCGGTCATTTGTGGAGGCGAGGCGTGGAACCACAGGGTTTCCTGGGCAACGCCATTGTCACGCCCAGGGCGGGGGTGGGGGTGGGTAACCAAGGACAAGGCTGGAGAGAATCCGGAAAAGAGGGCGAGTGAAGAGGCGGGAAAAATGGGAAACACGAGCTTCGGCCCGGCCTACGGGGGATGATTCCACGGTTCTCGCACAAGGCGATAGTGGAGCGTGGGAGGAGCCGAGGAGCGTGCCTGTGATTGGCTGCCCGGGAGCACCAGGCCGCTCATGATTGGGCGAGGCGACCTGGAGGCCCGAGTCTGTGGAGCGCGTAGGGTTCTGGGTAGCCAAGGCCTTGGAAGCGTCTTAACCGAAAGGGGGAGGGGGAGGCCGCCAACAAACGGCTGAGCTCACAATCCCGGCCGCGACCAAGCCGGCCGCCCCCTCCCCCATGGAGAGAGCCAGACGGGAGCCGCCGCCGCAGCCGCGCCAACCGCCGCGGCCCACCCCACCGCGCCCGTTGCGCCCCGCTCCGCCCGCGCAGCAGCCCGTCGAGGCCGCCACCTTCCGAGCCGCGGCCGCCGAGCGCCCGGAGTCGCCGCCGGTCCAAGCCCCGGCCGCCATCGCCGCAGTGGCCTCATCGTGCGGGGACGCCTCGTCAGCCGGTGCTCAGGCTGGGACGCTTCGTCTGCTGCAAGTGAAGCCGGAGCAGGTGCTGCTGCTGCCGCCGTCCGGGCCGCTGTTACCGCAGGCTCCTGACGAGGGTGCGGCTGCCGCCGCCGCTGCTGCGGCCGTCGCGTCGTCCGCGCAGGCGCGCCTGCTGCAGCTGAGACCAGAGCTGCTGCTGTTGCCGCCGCCGTCGGCGGCCGACGGAGGCCCTTGCAGGCCGGAGCTGCGCTCCATGCAGCCCCGGACGCTGCTCGCCAAGGCCGAGAAGCAGGAGCTGGGGGCGGGCTTGGACCTGTCGGTGGGATCTCGGAGGACCACCGAGGCCGGCCCCAGAGCCTCCAGGGCCGCCAAGTTGGATGGCACCGGGAAGGCCCTCGACGGCCGCCGAGGGGAGGAGAAGAAAGCCAAGCTGGAGGTGGAGGAGGCCTCGAGGGATGCGCTGAAAGGCAGCGAAGGCGGGAGCCTGCTTGTCGGAGAAGGAGCCATCAAGACCGAGGAGCCAGACAGACTCAGGGACGATTGCAGGCCGGGCACGGAAGCCGCGTCCAATGGCATGGTCCACGGCAGCAAGGATGCTCTCCTGGCCCAGCCGCCCAGTGCTTTTGGGCCGCACCAGCAAGACCTACGGTTCCCTTTGACTCTCCACGCGGTCCCTCCTGGGGCCCGTATCCAATTTCAGGGGCCTCCGCCTTCTGAGCTAATACGCTTGTCCAAGGTTCCCCTGACACCAGTGCCTATTAAAATGCAGTCCTTACTGGAGCCTTCTGTAAAAATTGAAACCAAAGATGTCCCCCTCACCGTGCTTCCCTCAGACGCAGGTATTAGAAGGCGAGGGAATCTGGACTTCACATTGATGTCTATGTTGCCCACAGCAGAGATACTAGCCGTTTAGGAGCTAGAGGTCAAAAAATAGAATCATGGTACTCATGTTTAGCCTGCAAAGGAGTTGTTTCTGATGTATTTGTCCATATACTGTAAAAAAAAAAAAAAATAGACTTACGTGTGAAAGCTCTCCACAAACTTTTTTTTTAAAAAAATCAATTTTAAGTGTTAGTAAACAGATTTAGATAATAGACACACCAGAATGCCCTGTTAGATAATACAAATCCCCTAGCGTATACATTTCAAGTTTCCTGATGTAGTAGCTTCATAGGTTTATGTGTATCAAGAAATAGAACCAAACCAAAGCTTTGGGAGAAATGATAATTGTTTATACTGATTATAGAGGTTACTTTAAAAGTCAACAATAACTTTGCTTGGAGAAAATATTCATATCTAGCATTGTATTCTAAAAGCCAAGGCTTTCTAGAAACATTAATAAATACTCAATAATTTTTTTTTTTTTCCGAGACAGGGTTTCTCCGTAGCTTTTGGTTCCTGTCCTGGAACTAGCTCCTGTAGACCAGGCTGGCCTCGAACTCACAGAGATCCACCTGCCTCTGCCTCCCCGAGTGCTGGGATTAAAGGCGTGCGCCACCACCGCCCGCTAAATTGTTTTTAAAAGAAGTAATATAGTCACTGCAGACAGGGTTTCTCTGTGTAACAGTCCTGGCGGGGAACTCACTCTGTAGACCAGGTAGCATCGAACTTTCAGAGATCACCTGCTTCTGCCTTCCAAGTGCTGGTATTAAAGCATGTGCCACCTCGGCCTGACCCTAGATAGTACTTTTATGAACGGCATTGGGATAAAATTTAGTGAGTGATAGTACTTTCATGAACTGCATGGGGATATAAATTTAGTGAGTTTCCTTTTTAGGAATTTTTAGCGGGTACTGTGACTCTCGGGATCACTTGCATTATTTTTGTCCCAGGACATGAGACTAGTTGTAATGATTCAGCGTGGCAGGAATTTCTCCTTCATAGTGAAAATCTGTTAGCATAAATACTGTTTGCTTTGTAGGATGCTACAGCCACTTTTGGAAATGACTTCCTTTAAATACTTACATAACTAACATCAGTGTGCATAGTTATGAATGGGTTATCGTTCCTGCCCCCTATTGATAGACTCATTTTAGTGGGAAATAAACTACATGTTAATTACTACCACAGGTGTTAATGAAGCTCAAAGAAACAAGTAGCTATCCATGTGTCTCTAATGTTACTGAACAGTATCTTCAACAATATTAAACTCTCTAGGCTACAGTTAAGAATGCTGAGTTTGGGGACTCTACGGAAGTTTGGAATATTGGCAATATTTTGACTGCATTGTAGTGTATGTTTTCAGGTACTGATATGTAAGTATAGATGAACGTACACTTGAACTTAAAATCGCGTATGTGGCACGTTAACGTAGTCTCTTCATTTTTGTCATATAGGAATACCTGATACTCCCTTCAGTAAGGACAGAAATGGCCATGTGAAGCGACCTATGAATGCATTTATGGTTTGGGCAAGAATCCACCGGCCAGCACTAGCCAAAGCTAACCCAGCCGCCAACAATGCAGAAATCAGTGTCCAGCTCGGGTTAGAGTGGAACAAACTTAGTGAAGAACAAAAGAAACCCTATTATGATGAAGCACAAAAGATTAAAGAAAAGCACAGAGAGGAATTTCCTGGTAATCAATGAAATGAACAAAGGCTCTTTCCATTTCTTTTAAATTTATTTAGGTAAAGATTAAGTTAGGTTGAGATTTCCTAATCTATGTGTGACAAAGAAAATAATGGCTAGCATTATAATAATGATCGAATTAATACTAAACGTACATTTTCTTAAGTGGAACACAGTTGTGAAATATCACATATTTACCAACTAATACAAATTAGGAGACATATTCTTTTACTGTGGCTTTGATTAAATACATATATGTACATACAAACATACATACATAGCTATAGCTATAAAAGTAGCAGTAAATCTCCATGGTTCTGTTTTGTAGTATACTTGACATATCAAATAATGGCTAAAAGATAATTAAGATGCAGGAATTAATATCCTGTTCCATTTTAATGTTAAGTGTTATCAGAACATAGTCCTGTTTTTTTGATTGGTAGATTTATTTGTATCACGACACAGTTTGAATGAGTGATTTGTCCTCCTCAGTAAGGGCATTACAATAAAGGTTGGGAACTATACATTCTTAATATTTATTTATTTATTTATTATGTATACAACATTTTGTCTGTGTGTATGCCTTCAGGCCAGTAGAGGGCACCAGATCCCGTTACAGATGGTTGTAAGCCACCATGTGGTTGCTGGGATTTGAACTCAGGACCTCTGGAAGAGCTGGCAATGCTCTTAACCTCTGAGCCATCTCTCCAGCTTTCAGAACTATGCATTCTTTGTGGCTTATATAGCTGTGCATAATGGGAAAAGAATTTTTTTCTGAAATACAAGCAGAAATACTTTAGGAGACAAGATTCTGAGGTATCATCTGGATGGAACCAGTGCTTTGTCTATAGGACAGCATCACACTGCTGACTTTGAAGGAAGTTAAGGTGTTTGTGATTTTATTAATTGCCATGTCTCAGAGAGAGACTTCCTAAACCAGGCTTAAAAATAGTGACTGGTTATTTGTGACCATTGCATTCCTGAGATTTGTACTTTATAGAATGAAGAAAGAAGAGGAGAGAAATAATGTCTTATGGGGTATTTTTCTTTAGTAAAGGAAAGGGTTTGGGGTTCAAACGCAATGACTTCTGTATAGATCCTACCATAGAGTCACTCCGTGTCTTGGAATATAAGGCATTTTGACTTTCCTCTCTATTATTGACTATAAAACTAACAAAATTAGAAGCTTTGTGGCTATTGACACTTGTTCCAGAAATAGCCTCATGGAAATGGAAAATATACTTTTAGATAACCCATTTTTTAAAAACTTTCAAGTGTTCTATATTTTTAATATAAAAAGGCCAGACTCTGTATATTCCTATTAAAATGTCTCTATCTTTTTCTTTAGGTTGGGTTTATCAGCCTCGTCCAGGGAAGCGAAAACGCTTCCCTCTAAGTGTTTCCAATGTATTTTCTGGCACCACACAGAATATTATCTCTACAAATCCTACAACAATTTATCCTTATCGCTCACCTACCTACTCTGTGGTAATTCCCGGCCTTCAGAACACCATCACTCATCCAGTTGGTGAGTTGTTCCTGTTGTAGATTGTTTGAAAATACCTCAGAATTTCACCTCTTAAGTTGAAATTTAGCTTCCATTAAACCTAGAATTTAGAACAATAGTAAAGGAATAAAATTAAGAAGAGAGAAAATGAAAACATTAAATGAGAGAAGGAGCAATAGCAGATCAATGTGGACAACTCTCACTTTTTAATTAAGTCAGGATGAGCCCCTGGGTTAGTCAGAGAATGGAAGAAATGACTCATGCAGTTTGTAGGGAATAGGGGTCGTTTCACACGTAGAATAAAGTACTGCTTTGCTGATGGGGTGTGAGGCATCCTGTCATGGATCTTAGGAAGGATGCTGATCTATTGAAGACCATTCTTTTCCGTTCCAGAAAAGCAATGGAAGCTATCCATTTTCCTAAATACTTTTTTGATTCATGTTCCTCACAGTCTGGTCTTTACCACTGTGTACCACAGTGGCTTGTTCCTCCAGAACTTTTATAACCAACTCTTAAGGAAACTGCAGTCCACTCACTAGTGCAATGGCTTATCTTAAAGCTGCTTTTTTCAATTTCTGCCTGCCTGGGTTCTCCTAATGATAAAGCTGGCCCTACGATAATGATAACCTATGGGTTAGAGATGGGTCGATCTTGGAAACTGACTTGTTAATACTATGCATTTTCAGTAATTTTTAATTAAAGATTTTTATTTTATGTACACGAGTGTTTTGTTTTCATGTTAAGTATACACACACTGTGTGTGTGTGTGTGTGTGTGTGTGTGTGCGCGCGCGCGCGTGCCTGGTGCTGGCGGCAATAAAAAGATGTTAGATCCCTTGGGTCTGGAATTGTACTTTGCCGTTTGGTATTGGGAATTGGTTCAAAGTTGCCATTTGGGCACTGGGAACTGAACCTGGGTCCTGTGCAAGAGCAGCAACTACTCTTAACTGCTGGGCTGTCTCTCCAGCCCCATTTTCAGCTTTTTAAACTGTGTCATTTTAGCCATTGGAAGTTACAAAAACTGCACTCAAGGTTTCTCTGTCAGGCGAAAGATACAGAGTTTGTCTGTTGCCTCGATTTTACAATATGGTCAGGCACTCTTAGTGTTGTCTGTAACACTGTATTTCAAACTAGGCTTCACCACTGTGCCTTTATATTGCTTTTGCATTTTGAGGTATTTTTTTTTATTTTAGTATATGTTGCTTTTTGTCACCCCTCCCCTCAAGACTTTACTTGCATCTGTTTTGTTCTTTTTTTTCGAGACAGGGTTTCTCTGTAGCTTTGGAGCCTGTCTTGGAACTAGTTCTTGTAGACCAGGCTGGCTTGAACTCACAGAGATCTTCCTGTCTCTGCCTCCTGAGTGCTGGGATTAAAGGTTTGCTCCACCACTGCCTGGCTTGTTTTGCCCATTTTTAGCTCACATTTCCCAGAAACAGATTTATCAGTGCTCTTATCTGAAGCAGTTAAGCTTTTACACGTTTACACCTCTGTACAGAGATATGGATGGAAGAAGACTGAATTTTTTTCTGATATTGGGAGAATTTGTGCATCACAATTTTGTTATTTAAGTATGGTAAACAGGGTTACAGGAAGCAGTTCAGAAACAACACAATAGTAAACAAAACATGGTATTGAGTCTTTGTTGAGTACTTCAAAAAGTTGTTTACAATGCTATATATTTCTTGTGAGGGCCAGAGTTTAAAGATTCATTTCCTGGATCTCAAGTGATAAGCAGAAACATTTTATAAAAGTAATTTGAGAATTGTTTTTAGATAAGTCATGTTCATACTGAGATTTGTTTACTACAATGATGTCCAATTGTGCAACTTTGATATGTGTTTAACTATTCCCATTATCTTGGTACTGTATTACTTAGAGGTGATAGCATAACTAGGATATTTGGAAATTTAAGACTCTAAAATTATCAAAGTTAGTTAATAGACTATATCATAAAGTCCTTTAAAGGGCCATAGTTATTGACCAGGCTTAGTAGTGCACACCTTTAGTCCCAACACTCGGGAGGATTCCTATGAGTTCGAGACTCATCTGGTCTACAAATCAAGTACCAAGACAGCCAGTCCTAAAAGCTGTTTTTGTTTTGTTTCTGTGTCTTATTAGATATTCTTAGGGGGAAAATGGTTTCTTTTAGCTTATAGTTCCAGGTTGTAGTTCATTTCAGGGAAGTAAAGGCAGCAAGAATTTAAAACTGCTAGTCATGCTAGGCGGTGGTGTTGGACACTAATCACAGCACTTGGGCAGGTGGATCTCTGAGTTCAAGGCCGACCTGGGCTACAGAGTGAGTTCCAGGACAGCCAGGACTGTTACACAGAGAAACTCTGTCTCGAAAAACCAAAACCAAAACCAAACCAAAATAAACCTCAAATAACCAACTAGTCACATCATATCCACCATCAAGATGAAAGTGACTAAATGAATGTATGCTATTTGATGTCTGTCTGTCTGTCTGTCTGTCTTGCAGTCAGTTCAGTTTTTCTCCTCTTAACAAGACCTGCCTAGGGAATGATGCCACCAACAGTGAGCTGCATCTCCCCATATCAGTAAATACAATCTCCAGACACCCACAGGCCAACTCAATATATACAATCCCACATTGAGACTCTTCCCAAGTAATCCTAGGCTATATAAAGTTGACATTTAAAGCTATCACAGAAGTGATGTAGATTTAGCAAAATTGTTCTGACGGATGCTATTTTTACCTACATTACCTTTGAGTTTCTCTACAATAATTATGATAATAGTACCTAAGATCTATTTTTGTCAGTTTGTAAACTTACCATTATACTGTATTGATACAGGATTCTCCAACTCCATTCAATGAAAATTAGGGTTCTGAAAGTAGGGAGGATTGTGTTGTCTCCACTGTCTCTTCACTTGCCTCTTGAAATTATTAGTGTCTAAGCCCCAGTTCTCAACCTGTAGGTTGTGACCCTACAGAGGGATGGACATCAAATGACTTTCACAGGGGTTGCTTATTAGTTTACATTATGATTCATAACAGTAGCAAAATTAGAGTTATGAGGTAGCAACGAAATAATTTTATGATTGGGGGTCACTACAACATGAGGAACTGTATTAGGAAAGTTGAGAACTACCAGTCTAAGCAGTGATTTTGTTCTTTCTGGTGAAGAATTTATCAAGTCTGGTAGTATTGCCTTACAGTCATTTGGTTTTTGTTAATTCAGTTTCCTTCTAAAAGATTGATTTAAAAAAAATGTGCTTGCATGCACAAAGTTGTGGTGCCCGAGTAGGCTAGAGGGGTCAGATACTTCTGGATCTTGAGGCACTTGACATGAGTGCTGGGAATAAAACTTGGGCCCTCTACAAAAGAAGTTAAGTGTTTTTAACTGCTGAGCCATCTCTCCAGCTTCCAACGGCCTAATTTTTATTTACACCACTTAGAACATATAGGCTTATTTTTTTCACACAAGATTTTGATAGATTTCTCTTAATTTGACCAGTTAACAGCTTTATGATTTAGGAGTATGTTTTTTTTCTTTGCTTTGAACATCATCACATAAACAACCACTTTTCTATGAATGTTTTACTTCAGTTATCCCTTTCCGTCTTCTTCCCTAAACCAACATTTATGATGCAAAAAAGTTAATAAAACCTCATTATTTAGTGATTTAGAAATGCATTACTCAATATTTCATGCCAAAGTCATGGATTTTCTAGTAGTCTTTCCTTTTATTTGATGCTCAGTCAAGCTTGCTTCATGTTCCTGTGTAGTCTACTAAGCCTGTTTGTTCGAACAAACACCACACTTTTCTGGAATACTTCATCTCATTAAGATGTCGAGTATACTTGAAAACGGTAAGTGTACTCAGGACTTTCTGTTCCCGTGATTTGCTCTATCTCCACTATCTCTGAGTGAATTCAATGCAATAGTTGCAAGCCTGCTTGTCTGACCCCTCTACCGTCTACTATTTATCAGGCAACTGTTTGAGTCATTAGAGCTCTGATATTTTTCTCAATCTTCCATATCACTGACTTATTAAAGGTTATACACTTTTAACCTCCTTATCAACAGGAACATTGACATTTAAAGATACTGTGTTTCTGGATAATTTTTTGTAAGAAAATACAGTAGTTGATTTATGTTACTTACTTTTATTTATTATTAAATGAATGCATTGTTATCATTCCAGGTCTCATTTCCATCTCTTCTTGGACATATTTAGGTAGAAAGAGAATTGGAAAAGACATGTCCCCCTTTCAATGACTGAAATCTGATCAATAGTTCTATTGCATTCTTGTAACTTACTTTTTCTGATAACTAAGTGCTTATGCTGGGTATAGGAAAAAGAACTCAGCTTTTTGAAGTAAATGGTTAGGTTAATTTCTTGAGTATGGTAATAATTCAAGAAATAAAAAATTGAGAGATTTTACAAGTTTTCCTGGCCATGTGATTGCAAAGTGGTTTAAGTCGTCGTCTTCCAGCAGAACAGCATAGGCATACTGTCAACTTAGGTTGAATTGTTTTCCCTCCAATCAAATATTAAGTCTTTCTAAGTTTTTGCATGTGTGTGTATATATCTGTATGAGTGTTTGTGCACTTGTATGTGTATATAGATGTGTGCCCTTGCATGCCTGTGTACAGAGGCCAGAAGAGGCTGTTGCATCCTTGAAACTAGAGTTACAGATGCTTGTGGAACCCTGAGTTTATTATGAGAATGTTGGGATCTGAACTCTGGTCCTCATTGTAAAGCAGGTGCTCTTAATCTCGGAGCCATCTCTCCAATCCCTCTTAACTATTTCTAAAGGCAGGTTTGTGGCTAGATCTTGGTAATGCAGATGTGAATAAAAGAACATGGCACGATGATTCATGTCTGTGATCGAGCACTCAGGAGGCTGAGGCAGGAGGATTGGGAGCTTGAGGCCAGTCTGGGCTAACAAGATGAGGACAGCTTCATTTATACCCTTCTGCACTTTGTTGGGTTAGGAACCATATTGAGATGGATAGGTGGGACTCTTTGTTCCTGCTTTCAGGCTTAGAAGGGCATTACCTTCTGCTACTGAGAGAAGAAAAAGAGGGAGGTCTTAACCTGGATAAAGTTGAAAAGTCTGCATTTTGAGCCTCTGAAAGACATTTCTGTTTTGTTTTGTTTTGTTTTGTTTTGTTTTGACAGGGTTTCTCTGTAGCTTTGGAGCCTTTCCTGGAACTAGCTCTTGTAGACCAGGCGGGCCTCAAACTCACAAAGATCTGCATACCTCTGCCTCCTGAGTGCTGGGATTAAAGGTGTGCGCCATCACTGCCTGGCCTGAGAGACATTTCTAACTGCAGCATCCGTGTTTGGACTGTGATCTTGTTAACAGACACCTAGGTGAATTGGAACACAATGGATATGACTATCTTCCGAAGGCTTCTGTTTGTATTTTGTCATGAAAACTTAGTTCAGTTTAGTCTACATGTGTTGTTTGGATATTAGCATCTCAGACAGCAGTACTGTCTTTTTAGAGTGGAAAGATAAATCACATGATTGTTTTACTTACCTTTAAGAACTCTACTCTTGCCAATCATGTTCTGTCAATATTCTTTCCAAGTCTGTTACAAATGGCTAACCTATGATAAATTGTATTCTTTTTGAAGATTTCCAGCTATAGTCACTTTGAATGCAGTAAAGTGAAATAGTTTTGATTGTTTTTTTTTTCAACTAAAAAGTGTCATAGTTTTTAATATACAGAAGTATGCAAAATGAAAGGAAAGTTGTCCGAGCCCACCCTGGCAGGAATCTGTAAAGGGTACCTGGGCGTGAGGTTGAAGCAAATGGCAGATTGAGAGAATGGAGATGGAAAGCAGGCTAGACTGGGAGGACTGTAGGTGAATGCCCACCAGCCCCGAGTTTATTTCTCAGCCTGCATATATATTAATTACAGGCAAGGCAGCACAAAGAGCAGTACCATCAGCTAACCGTCTTCCTACACTGTCCTTTGGAGGAAGCTCAAGTAGGTGCATAATCTCTTACAAGAATTCAGCTAGCAGCAAGCAGCCACTAATCACTTAAGGAGGAGTCCCTCTGGCTGGCACACACCAGCCCAAATCTTAATACACTGATGTGCTATTTCATCTGGGCAAAAATGCTCTTTTTTTGGGTGAATACAGACGTTTCTCAAAGCTCTTAAGGTTGCAGGCAGAGCAGGCAAGCTTGAACTCAAATGACTTATAAGTTAGAATGGACTCCAGATGGAAACTGAGTCACACATAGGCTCCCGCAAAAAATGATCACAGGGTTACTCTGAAACTTCTACTTATATGAAAATAAATATATTTCAGACGGATCAAAACCTAAAAACTATGAAGTGAACATGTGGATTTTCCTACTACCCCTGTATCTTGTCCCCTAACCTAGATTATTCTTTAATGATAATTGTTGCCAGTAGTCTTATATCAACATTTTAGTGTATACAATCTTCTAAATTATCAATAGTAATGCTGTTCATTTATTTACCTATCCAAGCTGAGGACTTTCCTATTTTGTGCTTGGCAGAAGCTGAGCTTGGGGATGTAGTAGTGAACAAAACAGAAGGTCTCTCTTAGGACACTGAGAGGCCAGTTGGGGAAGGGAAAAATGTTAATTCACGAGAAAGTACAGTGACTTCTTCATTGTCAGAATACTGTAAATAAAGGGGAGAGTGGTTTGATATGACGCCACTACTGGGTGAAGGTAATAGTGAACCCTCCTTCCATCTTCCAGTTCATAGTGTGGTGGATACCGGTAGCGATCTTATTAATGGTTAACTTCTGTTGTTTTTATTTCTGAAGGTGAAGCCCCACCTGCTATCCAGCTGCCCACACCTGCAGTCCAGCGCCCAAGCCCCATCACACTTTTCCAGCCCAGCGTCTCCAGCACTGGCCCGGTGGCCGGTCCGCCTCCAAGTCTGACGCCCCGTCCATCACTCCCTCCTCAGCGCTTCTCTGGGCCTCCGCAAACAGACGTTCCTAGGCTTCCTTCGGGAACCAGTCGCTCTGTGAAGAGACCCACTCCAGTGTCTCTGGAGAGCACCAGCAGGATTCCAGCTGGTGCAAGTACTGCCCATGCCAGATTTGCAACCTCACCTATCCAGCCTCCCAAGGAATATGCCAGCGTTTCCACGTGTCCCCGAAGCACTCCAATTCCCCCAGCTACTCCCATTCCACACTCACACGTCTATCAGCCCCCACCCCTTGGTCATCCAGCCACACTTTTTGGGACACCACCACGATTCTCCTTTCATCACCCTTACTTCCTACCTGGACCTCATTACTTCCCATCAAGGTAAAAACAATTTCCTACCTCTTCCCTAAAAATACTACTAGTGAAGTATCCCCCCCCCCCCCGCCCCCCATCTTGGTTTTTCAAGACAAGGATTTCTCTATGTATCCCTGGCTGTCCTGGAACCTGCTCTGTAGATCAGACTGGCCTTGAACTCAGAGATCCACCTGCCTCTGCCTCCTGAGTACTGGCATTAAAATCATGCACCGCCACTTGGCATGAGGCATTTCTTCTCTTCTGGAAAAACCTGACTTCCTCAATCAGGCTTCTGTTCAACTTTGGAGGTTGAGTGAGAACCAAGCAGTCCACATAAGGGGATGAAGGGGGGGGCCACATAAGGACCCGGGAGCTAGAGCTAGAGAGAATGCATTGGCATCCATTGGGGCAGCTGTTTCTCCACTCCAGCCAGCTCTTTCCATAGAAAATATGGTTTCAGTATTGTCAAATGTGGTTTTATAGGATGATCCCTTTATTGGAGCTATGTTTCATGGACACAAATTGTGTGGTATCTTGTTAAAACATGGACCCTGACTGTTACGTCTCAGGTACAAGAATAACCTCAGCATGCTTGCAAGTCTGCATTTCTTCTAAGTGATGCCAGATCTGTTTGCTTAAGGACAACATTTTGAATGATAAAGATGGAAAAGGGAAGGTTTTCAAGTCAAGAGAGATGGAATGGCTAGTTAAAAGTTACACTTCCTCTCTGCCTATTTCCAAACCAGAGAATTTCCCATGTTAATTACCAGTGATGAAATTTGTTTTATAGGGAAAAATCTTGGGAAAGCAAATTGAAACTTCACTTTGCAAATACCCTCTACTGCTCTGTTGCTGTTAAATATACAGGCACAGTTAATGTTGTGATTGGAATATTAAGTTGTTTGATACCAATCTTTTATTGTTCTATAGATTAACTAATAGGAAGTTAGGCTTTATAGGATTTGTTTATGAATATTCAAATTTTCTGATGCTTTACAGAGCATTTTATAAGAAGACTTATGAAAACAAGCACTTAGAATATTGACTTATATCTCTAATTAGCAATAGTAAATGAAGTGGGTAAATAAGAATATTGTACGTCTTGAACTTGAATTTGATTGGATTTAGGAATTCCAAATCAATATATTGAATGTAAATATCAAGATAATATGCTTTTTTTCAAAAAGGAAAGTGAGATTTATAATTTCAGACTTAAAATCCTTTGTAATTGTTTTCTGACTTTTGTCCCTATATATCTGATGATAGGTTTTCTCAGGGAATGAGTTAGCTTAATTATGCTTTCTTAAATAGAAAAATCTAGTATTGGTAAATGACAAAATTAACTGATTTCCTTTTAGTTTTGTCTCTGAATTGATATTGGAATTTTATAAAGAATACTTACTCCTAATTGCTTCAATACAATGATTCTAATGGGTATTTGAAATCGAAATACACAAATTTTGTGTTTATTATATTTTACATATTTTAACAAAAGTTATATTTTAGGCATTTTAATGGAGCATTTTGTAAAACAAAGGGACTCGTAGATGTGCTCCTACCTCCGAGATAATGCCTTCCTGCCTTTGAGTATTCGCCATTTCATTTTTTATTTCAAACTCTCTTTTCCTTCAGGCAGCATCCACGCCTCTTGTTAGTTTTCTTCTCTATCATCCCTCCTTTTTTCTCTCCTTGTAGCATATTTTTTTTAATATTTATTTATTTATTATGTATACAATATTCTGTCTGTGTATATGCCTGCAGGCCAGAAGAGGGCACCAGACCCCATTATAGATGGTTGTGAGCCACCATGTGGTTGCTGGGAATTGAACTCAGGACCTTTGGAAGAACAGGCAATGCTCTTAACCTCTGAGCCATCTCTCCAGCCC